ATTAACAAATACCTAACTTTTTTTCTTTGCTACTTCATAACTGTAATGTTGCTACTGTCATGAATCGTAATGTAAATATCTGATATGCAGGATGGTCTTAGGCGACCCCTGTGAAAGGGTCGTTCAACCACCAAAGGTGTCACGACCCACAGGTTGAGAACTGCTGATCTGACATATACCACAGCTGCTGTTTTGTAAGTAATCTCCAACATTGCAACTAAAGATACCAAATTTGGACACCATTTAATGTTACCACAGAATAATGATTTCTTTATTTTTGTCAAGAAGTCAAACTATAAGCGTTTTTAAATACAGTCAAACCTCAGTTCTCGAATGTCTCCCATATCAAACAATTCAGTTCTTTCTTGCCTAATATGTTCATGAAGATGGGTGGGGATGTTTTGCTTGTCAAACAAAACATCAGTTCTGAACCTTGCAACCTTTTCATATTGATATCTGTATGATCAGTCATACCTCTCTCCGATACAAACAAAGGAGAGAACATGCAAGTATTACTTTTCTCACATTGTTAACATCTCAGGAAATTGTGCTGTTAATATTTTTGTGTGTTTTTTATTTTGTTGTTGCTTAATATTATTAAATACATACAGTAAGAAGGTTAGTGATAGTAGCAAAGTGAAAAGGAAATTTGAGAGAACAATGATAGAGCTTAGACATGTGCTATATATAAGAAAGGTTAAAACAGAGAATCATTTGTGAGTCTGGCTTTTTAAAAAATATATATCCTTCGTATTAATCTTTTGTAACCTTTTTTACAACAACTAAAACTCTTATTATTTTCACTTTTGTATAAATGTTTCAGAGGAAATCTTGCAGTGTATAATCTCTTACTAGAACCAGATTAAATTAGAAATCCACAGCAAAATTTCTAGAATTTATCCCAGCAAATAACTAGTAAATATTTTAATGACAAAATGAAAAATCACATAGAAACATTCAAAATTATTTTGAACCTAATCAAATGAAACATGTTATATACTTGACATGATTTAAGGAAAATAATTTATTAACTCATTTTGTAAACCATGAACTTGAAAACTAATTTTTCTGAATGATAATTGTAACTCCTAGTTCTACTATTTTACTCTCTTAATGTATGATATTTGGTTAATGTGGAAGTAGAAATCTTCTTACTGGCATTTGGAATGAATAAATCTTTGTTGTGGAGCTGTCCTATGCATTATAAGGTCTTCAGCAACTGCCCTGGCCTTTGCCTTAGTAGCAACCGCACTCCCAGTCAGGACACTCAAAACCCATTGCAGACATTATTCTCTGGACTGAGAACCACAGAGTTAGATTTCTAAATCTAAAACATTTTTAAGAATATATTTTTATTGATTTCAGAGAGGAAGGGAGAGGGAGAGAGAGAGATAGAAATATCAATGATGAGAGAGAACCATTGATCAGCTGCCTCCTGTACACCCCGTAATGGGGATGGAGCCCATAACCTGGGCATGTGCCTTTGACCATAATCAAACCAGGGAGCCTTCAGTCTGCAGGCCGATGCTCTATCCATTGAGCCAAACCAGCTAGGGCTCTAAATCTAACACTTAACTAACTTTGTTTCCATTGGAGTTTACTTAACCATTCTAGGCTTTTATAAATATGCTTTGATAAAAGATAATGCACACCAGGAGATTAACAACGTGTTTGCCATGATGTCAATTCTAAACAAATATGAAGTACCTATGTTCACCTGTGTATAAATTATAAAGAAACTCATCAACTAACATGATATCTTGTTATGGCTAAACTACCTATAAAGTTTACTTTAATCTTCTGGTTTATAATCTTGCTTATATGAACTTAGCATAATAATTAAAATGTGTCAACCTCCATTTATTTCCCATTAACATATGTTAATCAGAGAGGGAGGTGAGGATTAAGCATTCTATTTTATTGTGTCAAAGAGTCTACTCTCTCATCTGTCACTATCTCAGTGCCATAAACAAGACATTTACCACATTTGATATGCAGAGTTCTCCATTGTGACATGAGAAAATATAAAGTCCTTCATGACTTCAATATGCAAAATATGAAGTCCTTTAGAAATTATAATAATCAATAATTTTAAGAAATCCTCCTTAAATTATTTATAATCTCTAAATTATAAGAAAGAATTAAAAATATATTTAATGATTTCTTATTGAACATAGCCTTTAGGGAGAGAACTGAATAAGATATTAAGTAATTCTAATTCAGATCTAGAAATAAGATGATCCTTCTTAAGCAGAAATTTAAATTGATGTTGAGAAGGCATAAGATATTGAACATCAAGATATTGCACAACCTGCCCGGCCCAAGTGGCTCAGTGGTTGAGCATAGAGCTATGAACCAGGAGGTCACTATTCCATTCCCAGTCAAGGCCCATGCCAGGGTTGGGGGCTTGATCCCCAGTGTGGGGTGTGCAGGAAATGGCCAATCAATGATTCTTTGAATCATCAATGATTCTCGCTCATCATTGATGTTTCTCTCTCATACACTCTCTCTTAAATCAATAAAATATACTTAAAACAGATACTGTACAACTTTAAATAGTCTATGTACCTCTTAAAATTTTATATTTATTATTCATACTAGCCTTTAGAGATTCTCATTCAACCATTAACTTCATAGTTAAGTCTATATACCCAAGTCAGTACTTTAATGAGTATCCAATATAACCACAATTTTTTTTTCTCCCAAGAAGCTAGTTTAGTCTAGTTTAGGAGGCTCAGGATACAATGAAAGATAGTAAATGGACAAGGCACAGTCAATAATTTCTATGAGAGTGAAAAGGTAGTCTGAGGCAATTACAACTCTAGGAATTAAAGATCTGCTTAATGAAACATGTAGCTTCTGATGACCTTAAAAATATAGTAGGGCTTGTATCATTTAAAAGGGTAGGAGTAGGTGTCCTAAACAAGGCGCATGGCAAGAACAAGGCTAAGCTAGAAATATTTGGCATTCATGAGATAACTGTCCTAGCAAGCAGCCAGGTGTGGTTGGGGAAAATGATTTGCAGCAAGATTACAGAGGCCTCTAATGCCAGATGGAAGAATTTTAACTTTATACACAGTGGATGAGTATCATTTTTTTAGAATTAAATCATACAAGTATTTTGCAACATGGAGTACCGTATTTGCCGGCGTATAAGACGACTAGGCGTATAAGACGACCCCCTAACATTTCCACTCAAAATACAGAGTTTGTTATATACTCGCCGTATAAGACTACCCCCTCTTCCGCACACCTTCCACACACCAAATAAAAGGTAAAACAATATCAGATTTGATTTTAACATTTTAATTTATATTCAAATGCTTATGACATGCAGGAAAACTGTCACAAGGCTGTATGTAATCAAACATATACATAAAACAGTGCAAGTTTATTACCGGTAAACATACCGGTAATTCACTAAAGAAAACACACTCTATAGACTGGTACCGTAGATGCTTCTCAGGAACACAGGCAAGCAGCCCACAACCTAGAGGGACTGTCAATGATAGAAGAAAGAT